TGCTCTGTCTAACTGTATAGCGAGATGTATGTGCCCGAAGGCCAGATATGTGCAGTASTATGTAGAGGGAACTCTGTGTTCATTTGAAGAGATGACAGGCCAAGCTGGACAAGAACCCCCCCCAAACTCCCAAGCCAGACTCGAACCCGTGACTGGGGAGATCTTCAGAGCAACCACGAGCAACAGCCACAAGCAACCCACGCAGTATCAAGACCCGACATACAACACCATGGACAACCCTTGGGTGGTGCACAGGCAGTGTCTGCATAAGCTTACCATGCATCAGCCCAAGGGAATGTGTGTCCAGCTGTGCGTCATTCTAACGCCCTGCCGGTGTCCATGCACAAGGCTGCAATTGAGTTTTGAACCCGCAACCTCATACCACAACGCGCATTTCCAACCGGTGCTCTAAGCACTGAGCTACATCAACTGGACTCTTTTTTTTCTTTCCTGAGGAAGCAGAATCTCAGTTGTTTATCAGGGGCTCCCCGTCTATCAGCTGGTAAGGGAAGGGACGCGAGGGGCATTCAGGAGGTCTCGGGCTCAATCCCCATTCGGCTCATGTACCTTCCTGCTCAAGCTTGGCGGCTGCCACCGAGAGAGAACCCCTTGGTCCCCCCGAGTGGCATTGAGCAGTGACTGCTAATGTTTGTAGGGGGAGGAGACTGGAGGGGAGGCACAGCGACTGACCCATTGAAGAAGCTCGGTCCTGATGCTACGGGCTGACCCCTGGCCGGTATCGCCCACCTGCAACTTGAAGTAGAGTGCAGTCCGCCCATGCTCCCTCGTTGGAGGCTTGAACACGGGCTGACTGCTACGGGGTTCCCACAGTAATACTACAATGCAAAATAAAAAAGACGGGAAAGGCCGCTGTCCTCTCCAGAGTCCAGATTAAAAAAAAGACTCCCGTCAGAGGTGGCGAGCACTTGAATGCCTTCGGCGTCTTTCATTTTATTTTATTTTTACTTCTTTTGTTTTTCGTGCGTGAAACGACGACCTTCTTTATATTACCTCTGCTGGTCAGAGGTCCAGCAGAAGGGTTTCAGAGAGGAGGGTACCAGAACCGCCCTCTTTTTCCCTTGTGCTGGTACCTTTCACTTGCAGGCTCGAAAAAAATTGGCTCGCAGGGCATTTTTAGACTCGGCATCACTAGCTGAGAGAGGTACTGGTGTTTTAAACCACCAGTACCTCACCCAGTTATCGAGTCCAAGCCTCCCGCTACCGGTAAGCCGAGCC